GTCACAAGCAGAACATCCGAAATTAGCTGAGGGGTTTGAAGTCTTTGCCAGCAGTGCTCAAACAGCATTACCTCCTGGCAGGGTGCCCCTGGGCCCTCTCTGTCCCTGCTGGGGAGCCACAGCTGGCAGTGGCTGTTAACCCTTGAGGCCATCACCCGATCCCCCAGACAACACAGAAAGTGGTGGGGAGCTTTGGAGCCATCCCTGCCCAGTGAGCCTTGGGGAGAATTGCAACCAGGCTGAAGGCTGTGTGGAAAAGCTGACAGCTCATGATGTTTTGGAGAGGAGTCCACAGACATGCCAGGTCCCATGAGGCCACACCAGAGCTACATATTTCTGCTGCAGTCGCAGAGACCCCAGAGGAGAAGGAGGCTTGTGCTGTACCATGTGCTTTAGAGATGCAGCACATGCAAATAGTGCAGGGAATTTGTCATCCCCGAAGAGTTTAGCATCCAGGAGGAGCTTATAAGTACTGCTGGGATCTCAGCTCCACTTGGCTTTTTTTCTTAAGGACAATGACTCATAAGAAGCAGCATAACTTGAGTCATTAAGTATGTCCTCAACAACAATTAGAGATGGAATGGGCAGCGGGAATACCTTTGCAGGGATCTAGTTGGGATCTCTGCTCTCCAGTTGCCTTGGCTCAATCACTGTGCCTGTCTGCCTTGAGGGAGAGAGTCCCCATCTGGGACTCTTTCCTTGACTCCTGGGCTCAGCAGGACACAAGGCCTGACTGCCATGTGCAGTTTCCCTCCCTGCTTTTTCTCTTTTTCTTTATTTCTGTTCAATAATACTAAATATTATCTCATCCCAGGAACTGATTTCATCCCACACTTGACTTCACACCTCAGGCCCAGGAGAACCTCTGCTTGTCTCAGAGCTCATCAGAAATTCATGATCCTCTCGCATGCCTAATAACAAAATGCCTGCCTCCATCTCGTTCCCTGACCAGACATTTCCTCATGCATAAAGGTGAAATCCTCCCTCCAAAATGCATCTTTACGAAATAGACTTCCAAATGCCACTAGCTCCTAAACCCTCTGTGCCACTGCTTCCCCCAGCCTTGGTGTCCTCCTCCGATGTCTCCTCCTTTCACTGCCATAGTCACAGAGGGCTAGTGGAGGTGTTGGCCCCACACTGCCAGAAAGGCAGGTGGGCTGACATACACCCTTCTCAGTCCCACTCCTGTCTCCTTTTTCCACTCTCATCACAGTGACAGGTTGATCTGGTGTGGGTGGGCTGGGAGACAGCAGCACAGATGGGAGACCCAGACAGCCCATTCAGGAGCGCAGCTGTAGGGTAAGAAGCAAGAAGATTCCTGAAGAGTGTCAAAGCTGCAGGGGAACTGCAACCACAACTGGGAAACACAAGTGAACTTGCATAAATCACTCCACATGCCGCATTTATTCCTCCAGTGCTCATAGAAATGGCAGAGCCCAGCTACCCTTTGGAGTTTATTGGATTGCTGCTGGGCTAACGAGATTCATGGGAAAATTAAAAATTGATCAGATGACCTAAAAACATTGTGTTCTGGTGAAAAAAAAAAAAAAAGTTGGCTTCAAGTAGTTTTCTGAGTTGGAAAGTATTTTTCTGAACCGCACTTGAGGTCGTTGAACACGTATTGTTTTGCAGCTGGAGCAGGGTGACGGGCAGTCACTGCATTCTTGAAATGGAAGTGAAACACTTCAGTCGCACTCACTGGAATCTTTCTTCGGGTTTACAGCTGGAAAAATGCTTCTGTGATTGTGTCTTTTCATGGCAGCTCATGACAGATTTATTATTCTTTTCTTTGATACCCTGGCAAATTTCACAGGGAAAGAAAATCACACTCTGCTGAGCTCTGGCTACACGCACTTGGGGGCCAGACATTGTTTGGCAGGGAGGGCTGTAGTGTGTACAGCTAAAACAAGGGCTACCCCAAGCCCAGTTGTGTAATTGCCTGTTTAACCCAAACAGTCATATTAACAGTCAACAGTCAGAGCAACTGTAGCTGCTCCAGTCCCCAGCAATGATATCTTGGAGTCTGGATGCAAGTGTCCCCACCAGACACTGCCTACCTACAACAGGCTCTGGGTCTGCTGCTGGTTTTGCAAAGCAGAGCCATCATGGGGCCCCCTTCAGCAGCCCATGGAGAGGCACAGAGCACCATTTAGGGTGCTCTGTGGGCACTGGACCATCTCTAGGGGATTTAGGGGCTGTGACAGGGGGCCTAGGGCAGATTCTACCCATACAGAGCAGCTGGACACCAGGAAGGCTATGAAACGGCATCACCTTCCTCTGTTCGGGCAACAGCACTGTAACACTATACTGTCTTCATTTGCTTAAAGAGAAAACTCTTCTCTGTCTGAATGTTACTGGGAGAGTGAGATAATGGCTGTGTTCATATCCTCTCCTGCAGAGCTTCTCCCCACTGCTGAGGCAGTTGGGTCTGGGGGGTGGATCTCATCTCTCTCCTGACATTGAGCACCATGAGCAAACCAAATACTTAATGCTAAACCTCTAAATTCAGACCAAAGCTCTTACTAGTAGTAAGAGCTTTGTAGTCCCAGCACATATCATCCCTAGTCTCAACCAGGGATTAAACTCTGGCAAAAGGTTTCAGTGGCTGACAGCTTGCTCTCCCACACATAGTGAGCCAAGGTTGGCTTAGGAGGAGAGGCAAAGTTTTGCAAAGTGCCTTGGGGTGAGAAGCACCAGCAGACTTGGTGTGTCCCCTACAATGGCCACAGGCCTCTGGGGTGAGGAGGTGGATGTCCCTGGAGCAAGCTGTAGGACCTGTTACCCATCATGATTTTGACAAGGATTTACAGCCATGATTTACAACAGGGATTGCCTCTGGTAGAAAAACTGGGCATTATTAGCAATACAGTAAAAAACCCCTGGGAGTCTCTGAGCATCAGGGCAGGGTACAAGTGAGTCAGGGTTCTGGGTACTTCGAACAGGTCCTTTCCCATGGGGTAAGGTGCCTTTTGAAAATTAAGGCATTGACTTTCATTTGCCTCTAATCTTGAGTGACTTGCTTGGGGTCAATTTTGGTTTGATCTGCTGGAAGGGACAGGCAAGTTGGGACTTGCTCTGTTCAGTCTTACTCATCTGGCATCTCGCTATCGCACTTCTCTCCTGGCCGGACCAGCTGTTCCCTACAATCAGTCCCACTGAGATAGCAAAACGAGCTAAACGTGCTGTTCCCAGTGTGTCCTTCCAGCCCACAAACAACATTATGCCTTCCACGAGTCATGGAGGGAAGTCCCTGAGCAGGATGCAGATTCCCCTTGGGGCCTCTGAGACGTGAGGGGAATTATCAAATGCAGAAGTGAAGTTTTCAAAACTTATCCTCATCACTGGGGACCCAGGGGGGATTTAGTGTAGACCCAACCATAAGGAGACCAAACCTCACCACGGTATGGATGTGCTGCCTGGAGTCTGTCTTGCCTTTTGTCGTACTCTACCCCTCACTTTCCCAGAAGGTGAAGGATGGCCCAGGTGGCCTTCTGTGACAGCACACCAGTTACATAAACTCCCACCTGAAGAGAGGAAAGGAAACCTGTGGGAAACCCAAGGAGAGCAGATTTCCATCTTCTCCCTACAGGAGGGGGAAGAAAAGGGTGTCCAGGCATGATCCTCCAGAAAGATGCACCACCAGCCCAGGCTGCCTTGTTCCAGGAATGTTGCACAGGATTTTGCACTGAGCAAAGACCAAGCAAGAGCCTTGCAGAACATATTGTGCTCCACTTTCTTCCCTGTCCACAGCACCAGAAGCAGCTAAAACCACAAGGAAGCTAAAAGGCAAAGATGCAGGTTGTGCCCTCTCCTGGGAAGCCTCCTGGAGAAGATGGGCCATGGCAATGCCACTGGGAACCAAGGCAGGAATACACTGCAAATCACAGTGGTTTCAAAAAGAGGTTGAGGTTTCAGATTAGTCTTGGCTAGAAACTCCTGCAGAAGGGCTGTGCTGACTCAGCCTCTCTATGCTGTGACTACAAAAGCACCAAACAAAAGGCCACATCATGGATGTAGCTACATCTGCTTTGATGATTTTGCCAGCACAACTACAGTGATGAGGAGAGGGACTTTTTCCTCAGTCTTAACCTAAGCTTGTCAGCCTAGTCTTATGCTCTAAATTAAAAGAAGATTTGTGGCTAAAGTTGAAGGAATTTGCCTTGTTTAGTCTAGAAAAGGAGGCTAAAATGCCAAAAGATAATAATCTTCCAACATATAAAATGTTGCTGTAAAGCTGGAGGTGGTCGGTTGTTGTCCCTCAGCTCCTGACAGAAGGAAAAGATGTAATTGGAGTAATATCCAGCAAAAGTGACTCAAGTTAGACATGACAAGTAACTAGAAAAATATTTAAACACCAGACAATAAAACTGGAGATTAAGTTACTGAAAAAAGCTGCAGACTCCCCATCTCCAAAGGTTTTTAATGAAAGATGAGACTGACTTTGACCAGGAGTAGTATGGAAACACTTGTTCCTTACTTGGCAAAGGAAGTCTGCATAACTTCTAGCCTTATTTCAGCCAGAAGTGCTGTTTTAGGGGTTGAACATGGGCAAAGAGATGGACAAAATTAAAAGATAAAGTTACTTTCTTTCTAAAGTTACAGTGATTGGGAAATCACTGCCCACAAGAGCAAATCACTCTGTGAAATGTTGCATCCCAACATTTCATGCTCTGCTTAGTTCCCATCTCCTATATCGCAATTATGTGTATTGGTCAGTCCCTCACCCTGCCTTTTTGTCCTCTCCCATTTCCTAAGCCCTGGCCATGCTTTCCCAAGGATCAGGGCTGCTACATGATATTTAATAGGTAATTTTAGTACACGTATCTCTGACATCTCCTTCTACCTAACAAAGCTGAAGTCAGGACCTGGTCCTGCTGCGAAATGAACCTGTGGTTCCCAAGAGGGGGGGGCATGAGCTGCTGAGCTGCGCTTTCCAGACTACACAGACTACTGAAACTTCAGGGCCAGAGTGATTTATTGATGTTTCCTGAAGCCTGCAGATATGGCAGTGACCTCATGTTGGAGGCAGGGGCCAGCTGACTTTTCAAGGTGCTCATGCTCAAAACAGGTGGATGAAATTCCTCCTCATCCCAGCAGAATAACTGTTAAGCATTGAGCCTGTTTCAAAGTGGCATCCAATGACCTCCTGGTAGCCAAGTGCTGAACCAGCTGAAAAGGTCAATAGCATATCAGCCAGAACAGCTGGATCTAATAGAAAATGAGTCAAGATGATACATAGCTGGCATTGCAGGAATAACAGATGTCATCTGGGTTGATTGTACCAGCGCATTGATGTGCTAAAACAACTGTAAAGAGACTCATGTGACCACAGCATACCACCCTCTTCCCATCCACTGAAACTGAGATGACCCACAGATGTTACACACAGATTTTCTGGTGACCAGATTTCCATACACAACAGATTCAAGGCAGATCTCATGGCAAAGCATGGTCTTGGGAAGGGCCATTTGCAATGAGGGATATGGAGATGGAGCAACATGCAAGGCAATGGATATAACCCACAGTTTTGATTTATATTAGGACTCTGCATTTTTCAGTCCCAAACAACACCACTGGACCAGGCATGCCCAAACCTCACATTTGCCATTTCACCTTCTCTGCTGCAGTTGAAGAGAGGGTGATATTTGCAGCTTTAAAAATAATAATAGTAATAAAAAGCAGCTGCTTAGCTTAGAGCATCTTTTATTGCCCAAATTAAAGGAGGCTCATGGGGGAAAGACGAGGAATCAGGTTGCAGGGAGTGGGGCTGTGGGCACTGCAATGCTGCACTGGCAGCATCTTGCTACCAGAGCTGTAAAAGGGATTAAGTTAACAAATATAAAAAGAAAAAGAAGGCTAAAATAGGAGACTAAAATAAGAATCAGAATCCCTCTGGTAAACTGCTGAGGTTTGCTCCCCGCTGTAGAGAGCCAGTTGTGCTGGGGGGAGTGAGCTATTTTCTAGAGATGTGCTGGAAATAGCACAGGGTAGTCAGGGAGCAGCAGAGGGTGAGCATCAGCAAGGGACCCTGTGGACCACCAAAAGCTTTCCCATTAGGTTGGGTATGCCAGTGTATACTGGGAGGATGCAGCAGAGACCAGGTAGGATGGGAAGAGATGGGATAAGGAAGGCAGTGGGCTCAGTGCTGCTGCTTCAAGGCTCCACTCTCAGCAAAACCACCATGCTTCAGAGCAAGGAACCAAGTCCTGAGCCTTGGTGTGCCACTCATGGAGGCACAGCTGAGTGCAGGGGGGTGCTGACCCAAAAGCAAGGGGCTTCTTGCAGCCCTATGACTGATGGCACTGCCCCAGCACCACCTCCCAGCCACTCCGGCCCCCCAGCATGCAGACAGTGATGAGCAGCCAGTTGTCTGGCAAAGCAATTACTGCCAGGCCCAACGTGCTGCTGCTAGTGCAGAAATTGAATTTTGAAGCAGTCAGCAGCAATTCCCCAGGGAGCACCAGCGGGTGGATGGGGAACAGCAGGAAGGAGGTTTCTCTTACCAGGCTTCAATCCTCACTTGGACTTGCTGAAATTAGACACTAAGCCTTGAACTCAAATCCTCTGATCTTCCCTTTTGTGTTCAGCACTGCTCTTGGTTTTTCCCTTATAAAACCTGTTTGTTGAAGCCACACAAGATACCTCCTTGGTATCTAAATCATTTTGTGCCGAATTTTGAGATGAGTTAGGACTGCGTAGGTTTTTCTGTGGCTACAGCACCCTCCTACACCAGCTGCAGGCTTTGGGCCCCAAAAGTCAGACTGAGTACAGGAAAGGCAGCACAGCAGTGCCACGGGGCAGTGGCACACACGCAGTGCTTCACTGCACAGGCACTGCACTCACTGTCTTCCTTGCCCAGACCTGAAGCACAACCTGCAGCCTCAGCCTTGAGGCACTGGCCAGTGAAGCGGGGAGGGGAAGAGTATCTCTCCCATACTTCTTTGCTTTCCTACAGGCCCCCTCACTTTGTGCATGAGCTCTCGTTCACCCACTTGCAGTAGCAGAGCAAGAAGAGATGCCCCAGGCGAGGTCTCCGTCCCTGGGGTGGCAGCGACAGTGCCGTGTAGTACTCAGGAGGGCCACTGGAGGTCTGCGTGCATTTGCTTTCTCCTGCACACTGTGGGATAAACCCCACTCGTCATAGAATAACAGAATATTCTGAGTTGGAAGGGACCCACAAGGATTATGGAGTCCAGCTCTTAAGTGAGTGGCCCACATGGGGATCAAACCCACAGCCTTGGTACTATCAGCACCGGGCTTTAACCAACTGAGCTAATCTCAGGGTCCTGCCTTGGCTGGGCCAGCACAGAACATCCACCTCCCCGGGCCAGCCCGTGTACCCATGGGGTGGCTCTGCTGCCCTCTGAACATCCCAGGGTAGCCTCAGCATTGCCCCACCTTTGGCTCCGTCGTGGGGCAAAATCCCAAGAGCAAAACTCGAATATGGGGAGGGTTAGCTCGTCTGACTCCTCTCTGCCCAGGAGGCACCTCCTGCAGCTGAAACCACACTGGCTCTCTGTTGAGCAAGGAACTGCTTGTGTCTCTCCCAAGTCTGGAGTGAATTCATCCTCAGGACAGACCAGCATAAAGCTGTCTACCTTCAGGATGTGGAACCTCCTTCCTTTCCATGGCTGGCTGGGATCACTGATGGAGCAATGTCAGGATTCTCACTATAAGGCTCATTTTTTTCAGAATGGCAGGTTCCCGCTCTCTGAAGACACCTCTTGTCATCCAGTCCCTGCTCCTCCACTCCTGCACCTCTTGCCTGTATCCCCATCATTGCTTCCCTGGGTCCTGCTGCATTGGTTTCCCTCATTTTGTTTTTAATCAAGTTCAAACTGGCTTGTGAGCTGCAGGATAATGGCATGAGTGTGTATTTGCACAGCAGTTTCATTCTGGGAGGGTCCTCACCCACTGTCCCAGCTGGACAAACAGACATGCACAACACAGGCTGTCTGACACGGAGGCAGCAGTTCAGCGCCAACACCGAGGATGTAGGATCACAGGTAGCTCAAGGGTGGCTCACACCAGCTGTGTTTCAGCCCAGTTTTATCCATCCACAACGGCAGGATGGATTCTTCCCTGCTCTGGCTTCCGAAGGGTGCCAGGCTGCGTTCATTGCTCTGGGCTGTGATGCCGTGGGATGTCACTGCATTTTTTGAATTTGCCCAGTGCAATCAACACAGCAACATCACCATTATGAAAATTTCACCAGAGCTTTCAAACTTCACAAGTTTTTAGGACTTCAGTTTATTAAAGGAAATATGGCACCCCAGGATCACAGCATCCTCCACTACCATGTGATGGCCCTGCTCAGAGGAGAAAGTCAAACCTCCCCTTTCAGTTTCAGAACAGAATGAAAACTGAAAGGACCAATGACTCCTTCACTCTTCACAGCCTGGACATTGTGAGTCAGCTGCCTTTGGTGCTTGGCAGCTGCCAGGGCTGTTGCTTCTGGGAGCTGTCACCACACTTTCATGTCTGACCCACACTCAGAACCCAAGCGTTTCCACTCAGATGTGGCAGGGCTGAAGGTCTCATTTTGGACATGCCCCTGTGATGCTCCTTACCTATAATCACACCACATACATCACTCCGCTCTGGCCAGGAGCTCCAGATGACAGTGGTGGACCTCCCCATGAGGGGAGAGCAGAGCTGAAGTAAGCAGCAGTCACTGGAGCCTCACTGTCTGCTTTGCAAGGAGTCAGACAAAACCTCAATATGGCTTTCTTTAACTGAGCTTTGGAAACCTGCTGCCATGTTACATATCCACCAAACATCCCCCAGCTAGTTCTCAGTTCAGGTTGTGCAAAAGATAACTGAAATTCAGCTGGGCTGTGGTGGACTGCATGCTCTGGATGGAAGGAAAGAAACCAGCAAAGGCACCACAGGAGCTGAGAGGCTTCAGAGGTAAGGGATGTGCAAGGATAAAGGGCTGGGCTGAGGAGGAAGAAGGCACAAGGATGGCATAGGGAAAAGGATGGCCAGGCCCAGGAAAGGAGGAACATTGCCATTTTTCACAAACATTGCATCTTGGAAGATCAAGAAGATATTAAACGATGGGCTTTTTCAAGTGGCAGTGACAGAAAACGCAGATGGCTTTCCTGAAAATGTGAACCCTACCATTCTTGGCTTATGAAGAAGAAATACACTGCATTTGCTATGTTTCCAGCAAAATCAAAGCAGCACACGCAGAGAAAACCAAACTGGGCTTCTCAGCAGACTCCAGGCTGAAGCTTTGTCCACCCTGGGAAAACAGGCACTTCTGGTTCTCCGGGCAGGTCTTCATCTGATACTGGAAACCAATGATGTGGGACTGTGTCCTATTCCAGTGGGTCTGTCCTTCTGCCCCACCTGTGAGCTTTGGGGGTGAAACATTCCTTGAGCAGATGTCCAGAGGGCCCTTTGCATGGATCACGTCTGAGGGCTGCTGCCTGTGGCCAGGTCAGAGTCTGCCCCCAACTCCCCGAAAACCCCTTTGCAGACCCTAGCTGACAATGCCCAACACCTCTCTCCATGCTCACACTGTTCCTGAGGAGGATGCTGGGCTCCTGGATCTCTGTGTAGAAGAAGAAAAAGCATCAGGCAGCTGTGGGAAGTGTGATTTTAAGAGCTTAAGGCCTCTCAGACAGCAAAGGAGGGGGGTGAGTCAGATGCTTCTCTCTTCCACAGGCTTTGCTGCTCCAGAAGAAGCCCAGGTCTCTGTGGCATCCAGAGCTAGTGTCCCCTCACCCCAGTACAGAGGGAAGGGAACCTGGGGCCTGCACCTTGCAGCACTGGGGCCTGGAGGCATCACTGAGCAGGAAAACTGGAAATACCTGAAAATTTGCCTCAGCTCCTTGCTGGAAGGCATTATGCAAGGAAAGGATAATCCCAGCCTGGATCAAGTGCTGGAAAAACCAGTGTAAAATCAGCTCTGACATGAGCCCAGCCCACATAGGGGATGATCTATATTGCCTACCCTAAGGCTACATGTACATTGCTACTGGAGTTGGGTCACTTGCTGGCCCTTGCAAGCAGTTACAGGGCAGCCTTGCAGGCCAAGCTAAAAACGTGACTTTCTGCTCAGCAGCAGAACTGACTCTCAAATAAAGCCAGAAAAACTTCAAGTAACCTTGTCACATCTTTTCCTGCCTTGTCATTGCAGACCTCATCTTGGGCCAGGGCATTCAGTAGCTGCAATTCGAGGTTTTTCTATCTGTGGTTGGTTTGACATCTAATTTTCCTCTCTTTGCTACAGAATATCCTCATCCCTTCTCTGCTCCAATTTTCTTTCTGCTTTCCTCCTTTTACCTCCCCTTGGTCCTTTTCAAACTCCTTCCCCCCTGCCTGCTGCCAGGCTGCAGTGCCTGCCATGTGGAGGGTAAATAAGATACTGCTCATCCAAGTCCCATCAGCCTCCTTACAACATCATAAAGCTACAGACATACTTTGGTGATCGTTAGTTAAAACAATCATTGTTTAAAACACCAGCAAAATAGCTATTGGTCAAAAGTACAGTCATTAACCTCATGTTCTCCTCTTCTTCCTTAACAAAGATGGATACACATTGACAGAGTTGTTCATGATGCAGCAGATTTTGCAACAGCATTACCCTGCTGACCCAAGCAGGTAGCCAAAATTCAGGTGGCTGGAGGTTATTTACAGCAAGAGAAGGAACTGACTGGGGAGACAGGTAATTTTCCAAAGCAGTGTTGCTAATTTACAAAGAAGCTGCAAAGTCCTGCACTGAAAACCCCAAGAAATGAGCATTTCCTGGCTCACACTACCTGTGTTATTCCCACGTGCACAAGAGCTCTCACGCTCTCAGCTTTTCTCAGGGCACGTGTAGTCCTGGTCCCTCCTTCATGGCACTGTGGTCCCAACACAGCCCCTGGGCAGCCTCTCCCATACATCACAGAGCTTTGCTCTGCTTCCACAGCATTGTCTCCTGCAGCTAATTGAGGTGAAAGTCTCTGGTAAAATCTGGAAAGAAAACCCAACGTTTTTTAATCTAATCTTGCAACAAAAATATTTTCAGGAAGAAAGACATGTTGTCTCCCCAGGACATCATACCCAGTGTCAGGTACCTTAGCTGAAGATGCTTTAAATCTCCACAGAATCATAGAATCACAGAATGGTTCGGATTGGAAGGAGCCTTAAAGATCATCCATTTCCAATTCCCCTGTCAGAGGCAGGGGCACCTTCCACTAGACCAGGTTGCTCAGAGCCCCATCCAGCCTGGCCTTGAAGACTTCCTTGTTTGAAAGTATTCCTCATAGCTGCACTGAGATGCTCTAGATACATCTCTGAATAATTGCTACATAGCTCAGATTTTAATGCTGCTTTGATCTAGAGTGGGGTTTCTTCGACATAGATGTTATTGTACATTAAACATACACGCAAGTTCCAAAATCCCCATTCGGCAGAGGATAAAGCCAGCCGTGGGTGTGCACACTGTTTGGGAAACATTTGTATTTAATTCACAACCCACAAAATTATTTCAACCCAAAAAAAGTTGTAGGAAGAGATTAATCTTCATATATCCCCTGGGGAGACTTCCACAGCCGAACTAGTCACCCTGAACTCCCTTTACATACAAACCCAACTTTCAGCTTTTAGCACGATTCATTCAATCTATTTGAGAGGTCCATGTTCTGTAACGCCAAAGAGGCCTCTTTTCCCCCTCTGCTGTGCCCAAAGCAGAGGCCAGCCAGCTCCAACGCCAGCAGAGATCTATGTGTGACAACAGGTCCCACCTCTGGCCCTGGTTACCAATTCATGGATTTTTACCAGTTGGAAATAATTTGGCATGTTAGGTTTTACAGTGACTTATTCACGGCACCCAGACAGGCAGGGAAGGAGGGAGCCTTCATCACTGCTGTGATGGGTCACGGCACACGGCAGGACTGCAGAAACCAGGATGTGTGTGTGGTTACTGCAACACCGCTCTCACGGCACAGGGGCCGCTGCCAGTGTCGGTTCCTGAGCAGAAGATTCATGAATCCTCAGCCCTGGGGGTTTGTGCATCAGGAAAGTGGCCAGCAACATGCTCTCAGGGGGAGAACAGCGTCCCTAAGAGAAGGTGCTGCAGAGCTACTGCAGTCAGAGGGAGCAAAGTGAGAG